TGTCTTTCTGCACTCAAACCTGGCCTGAATTTAAACCAGAGGATGGAAAAAGTAGCCTCAGAGGGAAAATATCAATCACAGCATTACATTTTCATGTGGGGGAGGGCCTGAGGACTTAATACAGACAAAAGCCATACAGCTTAACAATGTATATACAGGCAGCCTTAACTTATTATATTACACCACATAGTTCGGATCCAACTCTTTTTAAATATGATGATAAATATATTGTTACTATGTCTTATGATACTAAGGAAGGAAATAAAAGAAAAGGGAATCAGTAAGTAGAACAAAGAAATGTTAGAAGTATGTAAGAATAAAGATTCTTTTTGGTAAATAAGAATTTTTGAATGGTAAGACTTTATCCTAAAGATAGCTAGACTCTCCCAGAATGGAAAAAAACAGACAAAGCTAGAAAGCCTACACAAGTCACAAAAATGTCTGAATAAGTTATATCATGTATGTAAAAAAGCTGAGAATTGAATACATGAGTGACATTAAGATATCTAAGGTCAAGGTTCAGCATGTTAATAACAAACTTTTATTTAAATCAATGGAATTCTTTCATTGATTTCCTCTTGGTAACGTTTACCAAACAGTGAGTAGTAAGATCTGTCTCTGTGTAATCAATGTAAAATACTTAGAACACCGAGCCTTAACTTAACAAAACCAAGATTTAAAGTGTTTTTGTTGCTGTTTTTGTTTGGTTTTTCAAAACAGGGTTTCTTTATGTAACCCTGGCTGTCCTCATTAGTCCCTGAGGCTGGCCTCAAACTCAGAGATCTGCCTGCCTTGGCCTCCCAAGTGCTGGGATTAAAGGCATGAGCCACTACCGCCTAACTAAAAGTGTGTGTGTGTGTGTGTTTTTAAGATTTATTTATTTTATTTTATGTAGATGAGTGTTCTATCTGCATATATACTTACATGCCAGAAGAGGGCATCAGTTCCCTGTATAAAGGGTTATGAGCAAACATGTAGTTGCTGAGATTTGAACTCAGGACCTCAGGAAGAGCAGACAGTGCTCTTAACCACCATGCTATCTCTCCAGCCCATGCTTGGTCTTTATCAAAGCTTTTATCTAAGTGTTACATAAAAGTTAAAAGTATCAGACTGCTGTAATTGGCCTTCTGTGTGTTTAATAGCCATACTTGGATGCCTTAGCCAAGGAGGACAAGGAGACTAAAACCAAGCCAATAATTTGGCTCTTTCTCTTCAAGGCTGATGAGGTCTCAGGGGGCTATGAGGCGTCTCTCCAAAGCTCCCGGAGCTCTGGTGAGTCACTTGCTCTCTTGATCAGAGGGGCTGCTAAGACCCAAAGGCTGACCCTTACCCAGTATACAGTCTACAGAGTCACCATGCTGGGACATGCCTCCTGTGCTTCTGAGGGAAGCCTGAGCCAGAGATCTCGACACATTCCAGCCGATAAGAGAAGGTTTAGAGGAGCCAGGGCCTCTGTCCTAGTCCCAATAACCTCCAAAGACTGGCGCTGAGAGAAAGAGGGGTGGGAGGGCAGTGGGTAATTTTTAAAATTCTGGCTGCTAGGTAATCTGAAACACCCAACAGGAAAGTACAGCTGAGGATTACAGTGATTTGTGTGTATGCGTGGTGTGTGTGTGTGTGCATGTGTGTGTTTTGTTTTGTTTTGTTTTGAGACAGGGTCTTTGTAGCTCTGACTGTTCTGGACTCACGGAGATTCCCCTCCCTGCCTCTGCCTCCACATGCTGGGATCAAAGTCATTATACCAGAGGCTTTTTATTTATTTTTTTCCCCAGACAGGTTTTCTCCTTGTACAACAGTCCTGGCTGATCCAGAATTCACTTTCTAGACCAGGCTGGCCTTGAACTCACAGAGATCCATCTGCCTCTGCCTCCCAGTTAAAGGTATGCAACACCCTGGCCTTTAGTCCCAGCACTTGGGAGGCAGATGGATCTCAAGTTCAGGGAGAGTCAGAACTACACAGAGAAACCCTGTCTGGAAAAAAAACCAAAAGAAAAAAAAAGGGGGGCCGGGGGGAGGAGGTAGGTGGGCCACCATGCCCATCTTTTTCTTTGATGTTTAAGAAAAATCCAAAGAGTTGCACTCTCCAAGCACCAGACTTAAAGCTATTATAGAAAACCACTTTTCGCTGATGATTTCCTTTTGAAAACAAGAAAAATGCTATCCCCATACAGGGCATTGCCACCTTGGATTAATCTCAGCCCTGCAGCACCCAGCAAGACTAACAGCGGAGACAAGACCACTGCCATTCAACCCTGAAGAGCAGATGTGATCTTTCCTTTTCTCTTCTTGGAGCCCACCTGGACCTTCACACTAACATTCCAACAGTTGCTAAAGAGCCTGGAAGGGAGTCCTTGGTTCTTTGTTTTGAACCTAGCCTTGAAGGCCAGGGAAGAGAAAAAACCTGGAGAGGAGCCCAAGAAGCCAAATACAGATAGAGGGATTATAAGGAGCTATGATTCAGACATTAAAAACGAAACAAAACAAACCTCTGGACTTTTGCCTGTGTGTGAGTGTTCTGCCTGAGTTTATGCATGTGTCCCATGTGAATGCCTATGGTCAGAAGAACTAGAGTTGTGGTGTGAGTCACTGTGAGGGCGCTCGGAACTGAACCGGAGTCTTCTGCTGGTCTGAAGCAGACATTTCCACATGGCATTGTCTGGCTTTGGGTTCTCAGCCTATATGTGTAGACAGACTCTCACCTGCTCTGGGGAGGGAGGAACCACTCAAACGCTTTGATGTCCCTTAGATTGGCCTTATGAGTGCCACACTCAAGCTTGAAGGAGCCAGGTCCGTCATCACCCAGATTCCTTAAGGGCAGTTATTAGTTACCTGTTCTTGGGGGTGGGGTGGGGGACATGACAAGAGGACATAGAAACTGGTCGGGGAGTTTTAGGGAAGGAACTCGGGGAGCAGTAGCTCCTGAAATGTCCTTCCTGCAGGCCAGAAATGCCAGGAAGGCGATCCGGCTCCTGGTAACTTGTTAGCTTTCCTGAGTGAGCTGTACTGCCTGGCAGCTCACACGAGGATGTGATTAAAGCTGGGAGGGGGCATCTGGACACCTCATGGGTGATTCAACTAGACCGACCACTTCCCCAGGTCCTGAGACACACCTGTGAGGCCCTGGGGCAGCTTCCCACTCTTGCTCTTCACTCCCTAAAATAAAACTCACCCTCTGTGGGCCGTGAATTTCATTCCTCCACTTCACAAGACAAGCACCTGGATCCAGTGCTTCAGTGGACGTTCTGTGGGCTTCTGACGCCCTAACTCCTGAATTAAAGCCCCACCCCAGGTGAGAGAGAAAAGCCTCCGTAAAATGCTCCGGACAATGGTTCTCAACCTTTGGGTCATGACCCCTTCACATGCCCATTGACCTTTTCACAGGGGTCACCTAGGAAAACATGTTTACAGATTTGTAACATGAGTAACTGAATGAAAGAAAGGGTCACAGCATTAAGATTGAGGAACACTGCTCCAGGAGTTCACTTTTCAGTTCTCTCTTCTCTCTCTGGGGTCTCATCTGACTCCTGGGTACTTTAATCTTCACTTCCAAGGTGCTGGGATTTTTTATAGGCAAATGCTGGTTTTCGGACAAATCACCAGTGCTGGCACCCCATAAGCCAGAGATGTCAGGGTGGTGCACTCAACGCAAAGAGGAAGAACCCACTGCAGCAAGCGGACAACCTTACAAGTGCTGAGGCTGCACGAGGAAGGCAGGAGACTCTAAAAGGGATCCAAAGCGGCTCTGCTGGGTTCCTCCAGGAACCTTGGTTCAGCTTTCTTCTGTGTCCTTCGCCAGATCCACCCGAGAGCAAAGCTGGATTTCGGGTTCTAACTGCTTTCTTCTTGAGAGCTGAGCACGACATCCCATGGGATAAACTAAGCGCACACTGACATGTGGTTTTACAGAGAAGGGCTTGGAAAAGCGGAAAGCAAATGCAGACGGGCCAGTTTCTTTGGAAGGTGGGGACAAGGATGTGGGCTAATAGGAAGGCAAGTGCTTACCCCAGTAAGCTTCCTATCGGGCTAAAATTAACTCCTTTGTGGAGGATTAAGGCAAAATGAACTTGTTTATCTCTACAATTGGCACTGGAAGTCTAGGAAATTTGTCTGTTACCACATCAATTCTATTCTGTAAGAGCAGATAAACATTAAATTTCACTTTGGTGACTTTAGTTTGATTCTCTGTTGACTTTTGACCTGGCTTTTCAGATCAGTTTGAAAACGTTGGCCTCCTGTAATTCTGTGCTCCTTAAACAAACAAAACAAAAACAAAAACTAAAGCAGGACACAGTGGCATGTCTGTGATCCCAGCACTGAGGGAGGCAGAGGCAGGTGGATCACTGTGAGTCTGAGGCCACCCTGGCCTACAAAGGGAGTCCAGGACAGCCAGGGCTACACAGAGAAACCCTGTCTGGAAAAACCAAAAAAACAACAACAAAAAACCAAAAACAAACAAACAAAAAAAACCAAATCAAAATGAACATAAAATTTATTTTAAAAAGGATTAAATATGCTGGGCAGTGGTGGCACATGACTAAATTGGGAGGGCGCAGCAGGTAGATCTGAATTTGAGGCTAGCCTGATCTACAGAGTTCCAGGACAGCCAGGGCTACACAGTAAAACCTTGTCCCCCCCACAACAAAAAACTGGCGAAGAAAAAAACAAAAAAACTAAACTATTGAACATCAGAAACTTGATGGTGCTCAGTGAACACTGACCCTTCTCTGAGCCCACCTCTATTCTACTTTTTCTTGGATTAGAGGCATTCAGTAAAATCAGGGTGCTGTGTTCTGGGGTAGAGAAAGATGCTGGAGAAGGCACATGGGAGATCATAAAGAGAAACTTTTGCCAAGATTGTTTTGTGTTTTGCTTTATGAGGCAGGTGTGGGGCGTGGCTTTTGCCAGTTGTTAACAGCCTTCCTCATGCTGTAACAGAGAAGGGCATGGTCTAGGGCATGGTCTGGGCTGAGCCCAGAAAGAGGGTGTGGCCTGTAGCAATTTGGAGAGACCAGGAGACCCGGCAGTGTGGCTGTTTGGAGCAGACAGAGAACTGCTTTGGGGCATAGCGGTTTGAAGAAAACTGCAGGCTGCATTTCTGTTGACTGAGATGGGCATATAGCCCTACAAGAACCCCTTGACCCTAAACATCTGGGAGAGGTAAAGGGGCCCTCTCTCCCCATTAACTTTCTCTCTCCTGTGCAGGGTTGGGCAGTTGGGAGGTTGAGGCCTAAACACCCAAATAGAGTTTTTTTTAAAAGAACGCTACAATTACGCCTTTATGATCAGCATGGGTGGTGTGTGGGTGTGTGTGTGTGTGTGTATGTGTTGGGGGGGGGGGGGGGGTATGTGGGCACACACGTTCTAACATACTTCTGTTCGGCTGGTGGAGAAAGGCATGTTAAAAAAATCTTCTGCAACCCAGAGCTCGCTGTTCAGTATTCGGTTTGATAGATACTTAAGAAGTGCTGATGTGGGTCATCATGGTGGATCCCATTGCTAGTGGGAGTCCTTCGATCACCTGCATGCGTGGGCAGGAGAGCATAGTCCTAGGAGACTGCATGACTGTCGACTCCGTCCTCTCCATTCTTGCCACTCAGGACTTCATGGTCTTGGGAGTAGAAGTGCATCAGGAGGAACCCAGGGTGCACCGTTCTACAGCCATCCCTCCGGGCGTCCCGTCTTGCTCATGGTGCGTGCGTGCTGCTGTGCCTACTGCGTGCTGGTCCTTACTTGTACGTTTAAGTTAAACCATTCCATACATTTGAAAAACAGGTAAGTAGGGGCGTTCCTTGGCTTCCCTGGGACTCTGGGCAGCCTGAATGATTTTGAAGGATGTATTAGGCAAGTTTGAAGCAGAAGGCTCAAAACAATGGGAGAGAGCCAAAGCAAAGCCTGGTTGATGTGTTAAGACAGAAAACATGCCTGAATTTTTGGTGACACCAAGGGGGGGGGGGGGGGGGCGACCATGGGTACCAGGCCATGGACCATAGGACCTGTTGCATGAGCTCTGGGTTGGCTGTGACAGTTGATTGCAGACACAGACAGAACACAGACAGCGACTGGCCACAGACAGCAAACAGCATGGCATACACCGCTACAAACGAGGAAGAACCAGTAATCCTAGAGGGCGAGGGGCCTTGTCACAAGCATGGAATGGATAGAGAAAATATGCTGGGTAAATCAGAAGACATTGAACCACTACAATGGGTTAGAAAGGCTTATTTTCCTTCCTCAGTCTTCGTCAGAATATCAATGTTCACAGAAATATTTATTTCAAAAGCTCCAGGTGTTGTTTCAGGTATACCTTTACCCCATTTATTACACCAAAAACTTCCAAGAATTTCAAGTTCATAACTTTAGCTCAACTAGATGGACAAAAATGAGGAGAGCATGGCTCTCAGTGATATCTCCCACACCCTGTGTGCTATTGTAACGGAGGCTCTCTTCCCGTGTTTCCTGGTCGGTAAGAGTGTCTAGATTCTCCAAGGCGGCAGGGTCAGCCTCCTGGTTCTAAGGGTCGATGCTCTCTGTGCTGCGCAGGAAGTGAAGTCCAGCCCTCAGGTCCTGCTCTTGCAGGAGAGCTGAGCAATTGAAGGTGAGCACTCTGCTTAGAGGAGGAACCCCGAGTCAGCTGCCCTTCCCGGATTAACTGCTGCAGAAGCTCTACATAAGGGATGGCGAGTCCTTGAAGATATCCTAAGTGGCTTCCTCTGAGAGTTTTCCCCAGAAGAAGCCATCTGGCCACTTGCCTTGTATTACATTTCTAAGAGCTTCTCCATTTCCTCCAGGACTTTTGTGAAGTCACTGGCTTGCTCTTTACATGAGTTTTGTTGTTTCAGGAACTGGCCTCTTTCTTCCTCTTTCAGCTTCAACTTTACCTTCAAGGCCTGAAAGGGAAGGTATTCCAAAGGAAAACCTGTCACAAAACTCTTGACTCACAAGAAAGAAGACACATGGACCAGCATGTTACACTGTTCCAGAGAGATCCACGCTGCTGCAGAGAGGAAGGCAGGAAACGCCCCAACACCAGAAGACCCTGCAGTTCCTACCTTGGAGGTTATCTGTGCTGGTTTGGGGAATCTTCCCACCTTGGCATTTAAAACTGAGCAATGAAATCCTGTGTCTCCTGCCCCGAGGTTTATCTGGCATTCTGAAGCAGTCTAGACCCCAAAATCTCACCATATAGACCTGGCTTCAAACTTACAGAGATGCCGCTGCCTCTGTGATAAAGAAGTGTACCACTCTGGCTTCTAAGTCTTTTTTTTTTTTTTTAATTTATGTATGTGTGTGTGTGTCCTTGGATATCCGTGGAGAGGAGAAGAAGGCCTCAGATGCCTGCGCTGGAGTTATGGAGGTATAAGCTGCAGGAGGCGGAACTTGGGACTCTGCAAGGGCAGCAAGCACTCTCAAGTGCTGGGCCAGCCCTCCAGCCCTCCAATCTGGATATTTCAGTTTTAACTCTCAACTTTGAGTGGTCCTCTGGAGAGGTGGAGACTCCCCCCCCAAACCCCCTGGCTTTGCGTTGGGTTTTGTCTCCAAGAACATTTCTGAGTCCTCAGGAACGCAAAAAGAAAAATCTGTAGAGGAAAGCATCTAAAAAAACAAAAAAAGAAAGAAAGAAAAAGAAGAGTCTGGGAATTTAGTTAACAATAGCACATCAGTGAATAGCGTGAGGCATGAGGTATTATCCTTAGGGGAACTGAAATTTCTGCATTATCTATACAACTTTTCTCTAAATCTAAAATTATTTCCAAATAGTTCATTAAAAACAAACATCCTGGGCCTGGTGCTACCGGCTGCCGTCTGTGGTGCAGTGAGTCTGTGGTGCAGTGAGTGTGGAACTCACCTGGCCAGCTCTATCAGCTGCTCCTGACACCCTGACCTCATCCCTTGCCTTCGATCCTTTCTGTCCACTTAAGTGCCTCAGGCTGGTGCTTAGTCATGGTTCCACTGATCTGGATATCATGAGTTATGAGCCATGATGGGCTGCGTGAAGGGAGCCCAGGTTGAAGCACAGTCTGTGTCTTAGGCCCCTCCAGAAGGGTAGGAGGAAGATGGCCCTTGACCCGGGTCTGATCTGGGTGTGTGTTGTTTAGGGGGTCCTTCTATGACTGTTGATCCCTGAGCCAGGCCCACCCCAGCAGGGAGCTGTGGCCATTTGATGGCCCCCCCTCCCATCTCTACCCCTGCCTCAGCACTGCACAAGCCAACCTCTTCCCCTCAGCCTCTTGCTTGCAGGGGACAAAGCCTTAACGGGTGGGGGCTGCTCCATGGTAACCCTCCAGGAGCCCCAGCCTTGGTACGCGGAACTGACTTGGGGGCTTGCCTTCCCACAGCTGCTCCCATGATGGGGAGTGGGTTGGCTCTTAGCTCTGCGGTTGTTGGAGGTTGGGCAGTCAAAACAAACAAACAAACAAACAAACAAACAAACAAACAAACAGGAGCTAGGCATGAGGGCGGGTAAAATAGCTCAGAGGGTAAAGGTGCTTGCCACCAGGCCTAAGGACCTGAATCTGAGTCCCATGTACTGTGGCAGGTATATACCCATACATTCAGACAGACAGACAGACAGACAGACAGACAGACAGACAGACACACACACACACACACACGCTAAATAAAATGCAATATAAAACTGGAGCTGTCTTTGCAGTTGAGCACCCCCTACTCTTTCAGACAAGCAGAGTTCAGTTTTCAGCACCCACGTCAGGCAGCTCACAATTGTAACTCCAGCTCCAGGGAATCGGAAGCCCTCCATGTCTTCCATGGGTACCTGCACATACGTGACATACATCCACACAGACACATACACAGAAGTAGAAATAAATGTTAAAAAAATAGAGGCAGGCATGGTAGCTCATGCTTATAATCCCAGCACTGATGAGGCTGAAGTAATGAGGACAGTCCTGAGGCTCTCTCGGGGGAAGGATCGGGAAGAGAAGGAAAGAAGGATGAAGGACAGATGGCTCAGCAGTTAAGTGGCTGTTCTGGCAGAGGACACAGGTTTGGTTCCCAAGGACTAACATGGCAGCTCACATCAGATCCAGGGGATCCGATGCCCTCTACTGGCCTCCATGGCCACTGCTTCTCATGTGCTGCATGGGCATACACTTAGGCAACATAAAGTCGACAAAGAAAACCAGGGACAGTGATTCCCCCGAATCCACAAACTGTGGTAAAATGGCGGCACCGCTTTGGGTTTGTCTGCTCTTACCTTTAACTCCTCCATCTGCTTCTTGGCCGTTTCATTGAAAACCTTCAGTTCATCTTGCAAAGTTTCTAGCAGCAGCTAAAGTAAAGAATGTGTAAAAAGTTGACCAGGGTGTGGTGGCACAAGTATTAATCCCAACACTTGGAAGGCAGAGTCAGATGGAGATCTCTGAGTTCAGGGCCACCCTAGTCTACAGAGTGAGTTCCAGGATGGTGGAGACTACGAAGTGAGACCCTATTTCAAAAGTAAGAGAGGAGCGAGAGAGACAGAGACACACAAAGAGAAACAGAGACAAAGAGAAAAAGCCAGAAAGAGAGACACACACAGAGAGAGAAGGATTAAACTGTGGCTATCGTCCTTTTCACTTAGGACATGTTCTGAGCACTGACTGAACATGCCAGGATCTCCACTGGTCCTCTCTGAGGAACCCAGCCCAGAGAAAAGCCTGTCTGCAAATGCGAGCTGCTCTTAGGAATTGTTCTTCTCTACCACAGACTCCTTTATCTAGAGCGATAAAAAAGCTTCCTATGCCCCATTCAATAGCCCATAACCTATCCAGGCAATCTCAACAGTCCAGGCCAGAAGCCTGGTTTCTTACTAAAGACCCCCTCCTGGAGATATCAAATTTGTCTCCTACTATGTGATCTGTGCTGCGCAGACCTCAGGAGCAAATCACAGCACACTCAGAGGGAAGCCAGAGGTGGAGATGCTCAAACAGGCTAGACCTGGGCATTACAGAATTCTCAGCCACGGAATAGGGGAGAAATTTGGTGAGGTGTAGAAAAGAGAAACCAGAAGATCTCTATCCGGGCTCTCCCTGTCAGAGGTTTTGTGTGCACACCTATGCGGATGTGCGGTGTGTGTGAAGTGCTGGCAGTCAACTTTAGATGGCATGCACACTATGTAAGCACCGTGTCCATGAGCCATAACCCCAGAGTCCTCGGCTGTGTGTGTGTGTGTGTATGGTGTGTACATACATGGCAGAAGCACACATACATGCGGTTACAAATTCCTGTGGAGGCCAGACATTTACATCATGGATCTTCTTTGTCTTCCACCTTTAAAAATTATTATTGCTGGGCCGTGGTGGCTCATGCCTTTAATCCCAGCACTTGGGAAGCAGAGGCAGGTGGATCTCTGAGTTTGGGGCTAGCCTGGTCTACAGAGTGAGTTCCAGGACAGCCATGGCTACACAGAGAAACCTTGTCTTGAAAAACAAAAACAAAAACGAACAAACATATGTAGAGGTCATGAGACAACTCTGTGGAGTGGGTTCTCACCATCCCCTTTTTCCTTTTCAAACTCAGGTGGGCGATGCTTATACAGCAAGGACCTTAGTCCACCGGCCAGCCATCTTAAGACATCTGACCAGCCTTTCCCTCCACTTTAAACATTAAAAAACAAAACAGAACACTTATTTATTTAACATGAATGCAAACATACGTGTGCAAGCACTATGATATGTGTGTGGAGGCCCAAATGGCAACTGTTTTTTTCCTTCCATCATGTGGGTTTTGGGGATCAAACTTGGTTGTGAGGCTTGCAGCAAGCACTACTACCTACTGAGCCACCCCAGGGGAGCTCTGCTTACTTGTGTGTGTCATTCATGCCAGCATGTGAAGGTCGGAGGACGAACCGAAGGAGCCAGTTCAGGGACTGAACTCAGGTCCCCAGGCTTGGCGGGTGGCAAGCATCTTTACCTGCTCGCCCAGCTCCACTTTACTGTTTGAGACGGGGTCTCTAGGTTAACCAGTTAGGAGGCTGGCTGGACAATAAACTCCAGACATCCAGTTTCCACTCCTCTACCATCCAGCTTTTATAGGGGTGCTGAGGACCGGAACTGAGTTCTCCATGCTTGTTCGACAGGCACTTTGCTGACTGAGCCCTCCCTTCAAGCCCCATTCTGTGTTTTAGTATGTTTCCAGTTCAGATTCACTTCTACCTTCCTGTGAGAGTGAAACTACCTTTTCAAGTAAAATGTGCTATAAGCACACAGTCCATTTATCTTGTCTTTTATTGTGGACGTCCAAAGCAAGCATCTTAGCATCTCTGCAGAGCAGAGAGCAGAGATCTTAGATCCTCTGGGTGATGGCCAGCCTGACTCCATCTTAAGAGCAAAAGCCCTCATTACAAGGTCAAATAAGTTCATTTTTGCTTTCTGTAAAACTTGGATTTGACAAGGTCTTGACCCATTTTCTGGAATTTGACACGTTCCATACTCTATACCCTAACCTCTCCCCCCAATAAATAAGATGATCTGCCAAATAATTTTTAAAATGTTCAGCCAAATTCCTATGGAATCCCCCAATCCTTGAAAATCCACTAAACTTGCAGTTTTGGGGGTTTTATAAACCCCAATGTCTCCTGTGTTCAATGCTATTTTCTCAAATCCTGCTTTAGGGACATAGCCCTGTCTGACAGAAAATAAAGCTTGCATAATTTAACCAAGAATCTGGCTGCTGATCTTTACTCTTGCTTGGTGAATTTAACACTGGGCCCTGGCTGAGGGCCTGCCCATCCACACCCTTGCTCTCACCACGGAGTCCGTGTGATCTATGGTGGGTTTCTTCTCTGATGCCAGGGTCTCGCTGCCTAAAATGGATAGATACAACAAAGTAAGCCTCATGTGAGAGCCACACCTTAAACCAGAGGGGAAACAGCCCTTCATGGATAAGCACACACATAATCCTGAGGGAAGCCTCCACAAGCCTGTTCCTGGAAGCGTTCCCCTGAGCCTGTCTCTCACGGCTGCACTCAGGGCTATGTTTTCTTCAGAGCTGTCTAAGTTTGCAAATGGCCAGTCTATTATGTTCTGCTTCTTTCTGGAGAAACTTTGTCCTGGGGAAATACATGGTACAGGCGGCAGGCCCCGGGTTCCGTCTCCAGCAGAGTCAGCATTCCTCAATTCAAAGTTCCTTTTTGGGCAGTCTTTGTCTCTTCAGCCTAGCCTGAAGCCATCTTAGCATGTCTGGACAAATTTGCTTCTTGGGGCGGGGAAGGGAGGGACTTGGGATAGAACCTGTGATCTCCATATTCCAAGCATGGGTTCTTCTGCTGAGCTACACCCTACCCAGAGTCCCACGCAGGTGCTGCCATGAAGCTGACTCAGGAACCACTGAGACAGAACTCTCCCTCCTGTCACCTGTGAGTGCTACTGCCCTGGAAAGAAACCCAACACTTCTGGGCCTCTTTGCAAGCTCATACCTGCTGGAGTGAATGAATGAAGCAGTACTTAGCTAAGAGAGAAGTTCTCTTGACAATTCTCGTATTCTATTTGTCAGGCAGAAATGGACCTTTCCTAAGAACATTAGGAAACACTGAAAATTGGTTAGTGTCTGATTAAGCAGTTCCTGCACCCACAGAGCACAGATTCCACGCTGTTAACTTCGCCCCAGGAAGGGCACCTGTACTGGCTCGAGGGGGGGCGGGGAGCGGGGACAGGACAGCAGTGTGTTGCCTTTTACCTGGGTTGAGGCCTTTGCTCTCCAAAATCGCTAAGCAGTTATTCTGAAACTTCTCCAGCAGCTCCACTTTCTGCGTCAGGTCCTTCAGTTCTCCCTGTGGAGTGGCATACAGACAAATCAGGAGCTGTCCTGTCAGGGGCAGGTCGTCCTCACCCGTGTCCCTGCTGAGACACAGCAGGAGCCGGCTTCTCCTGTCTTCGGTGGTCAGCCTGCTCCCACCCAGCAGGAGGCCGCCTGTAGCACCCACAAGCTGATGAGGCAGGACTTGGGTGGGCTTCTCACCTGAGTCTCCAGCAGCTTCTGGTGCAGCTGCTTGTTGACGGACTCCAGAAGCTGGTTTTTATCCTTTAGTTCCTCCTCTGGTTTTTGCTTGAATGGTTTGTAGCTACAATCAAAGTTGTGGTAACATGAAGAGGTAGAGGGTTTGGGAGGACATGCTACTGAGTTATTCGAATGGTTTCCAATCCTGGCTTCCTGACAATGGTCTGTAATCTGAGGCTCTGCTCTCTCAGCTCTGGAATTAAGACAATACCTCCATTTTATAAGACTGCTACACATAAAAGAGAGAATCCACGGACAACGCTGAACTCATCTGCTGATGCACGGTAAACATGGGCTCCACAGCTGTCATCTCAATATTAAACCCGAGTTTCCGAAAACATGAGCGTATGTGTATACCGTGTCTACGTGCATGCTTACCCAGAGGCCGGAGCAGGACTTCGGGGATCTTCCACTTGCTCTCACTTCATTCCCCTGAGACAGGATCTCTTACTGAATTGGAGGCTCAGAGATCCAGCCTGTAAGGATCTACCTGCTTCCCCCTCCCTATTCTGGAGTCACTGGCAGGTATGACCCTGCCCAGCTTTTTCTAAGGGTTCTGGGGTTCTAACCCAGGCCTTATACCTGCAGAGCAGGCACTCTTAGCCACTCAGCCACCTCCCTGCCCTGAAACTTTTTTCTTTGGTGGGGAAGGTGGTGTATGTTTTTTAAATAGGGGTTTCCCCTATGTCTTAGTTAGGGCTTCTATTGCTGTGCTTGAAATGCCATGACCAAAGCAACTGGGAAGGGAAGAGTTTTATTTGGCTTATCCGTCCAGATCAGTGTTCATCTCCGAAGAAGTCAAAACAGGAACTCAAGCATGGCAGGCACCTGGAGGCAGGAGCCAGCATGCTCTACAGCTCTCGTTGGTCTGGAATGGAGCCCAGGATGTCGGTGAACTAGTGGAATCTTGCCTCAGTTTCCTAAATTCTTCTATTACAGGTGTAATACAACACATCTAGCAAGAAGCTCTTGGGGGTGAGTGGTGAGGGGGCTGCTGAGATGGCTGCTGAGTGGTTAAAGGCATGCACTGCTCTTCCGGAGGACCCAAGTTCAATTCCCAGCACTCACATCAGGCGGCTCACAACTGCTAAGGATTCCAGCTTCGGCGGGGACGCTCTCCCAGCACCTGAGCTTACATGTACACGCATGTACACATTAAAAATTTTTAAATCATTTTTTAAAGGAAGCTTTTGGGCTTTCTGCCATGACTACTGCTCAAGGTGGTGGTGTCACTGATCCTTGCCCTGACAGTGGTTCTTATAACTTGCTGTGTCTTTGCCCCGTAATTCCATTCGGGTACGTGGCATGGTACCCAGACTTAAACACACCAAGCAAGCTTAATGTGACTGTCCTCTGTGTCCCCAGTGTGAGCCTCCACCCTTAACATCTGCCCCATGCTCACCTCTTTTTGATGTTCCTCTTGCTGGCAATCTCTGCGGCTTTCATCTGCCTATGGAAGCAGAATCAAAGCCAATTAGAGAACCACAGTACTTGGTGCTAGGAATAAGGTGCAACAGGGCGCTTGGCTTCATTGCTGTCTGGAGACAGGGTTTGAACTCCCAATTCCCCTGCCTCAGCCTCCCCAGTTCTAGGATTACAGGTGCATGCTACCATACCTGGCTTAAGAGATTTGAGTTCCTGAGGAAAGACCCGAAGAGGACATCCCACTAAACAGCACGGGCTGAGAGCCAAGGGGCCATGAGGGCTGTTTTCACCCCCAGCGACCTGCCAGACCTGAGCTTGCTTCAGATACCACAGCTATCTCATGTCAACATTCACCAGGGAGAGGATCACCGGCTCGGGTCACAGGAACATGCTAGATCCCGGGGCTGGACTCTGCTCAGATCCCTGAATAAGGCTCGCAGCCAGCCTCAGCTTTCAGGACTGTGACTGCCCGGCCAGGTGCTGCTGCCGGTGTACTCAGAGCCAGTGTGGTAGAGGTAAGATCGGCCTTCTCAGAACCCTGACCGTGTGTCTCTTCAGAAAGATAAACAAAGGCCCTCAGAAGCAGCTTCAGGAGATGAGACAGGGGCTCCCATACTTTAGTTTTTACTTAAGAGATTTTTTTTTTCTTTTGGTTGGGGGAGAAGGGATTTCGAGACAGGGTCTCACTATGTAGCCCTGGCTGTCCTGGAACTCACTATGTAGACCAGGCTAGCCTCAAACTCAGAGACTTGCCTGCCTCTGCCTCCCGAGTCCTGGATTAAAGGTGAGCGCCACTATGCCTGACTTCATTTTAAGACATATTTTTATGTAGATGAGTGTTTTGCCTACATGTATATATTTATGCATTAAATGTGTGCCTGGTACCAAGAGAGGTCAGAAGAGGACACTGGATCCCCTCGAACTAGGTTTGAGATGGATGTGAGCTACCATGTTGGTGCCGGGAACTGAACCAGGGTCCTTGAAAGAGCCAGAACTGCTGAGCCATCTCTTCAGCCTCTATTTAAAAATATTTGGTGTTCAGCAACTTCTAGAAAGATCGGCGTCTCTCCTTGCCCCTCCCTCTCTCTGATGGAGAGTCAACCCAGGCCCTTGAACATGCAAGGCAAGCACTCCGGCACTGAGCTATACCCTTAGCTCTAGCAGGAAGTTCTAACCAGAGGCCAATGATCCGCTCTTACCGGTTCTCTTGTCTTGATTTGGTGACTTTTGTCGTATCAGACTCTGAACTTCCCGGATGAAGATGTCTAAGCCCATCAACTTCTTTGATTTTAACAGGCAGTTTAGAAGTGGCTTGTGCATCTGAAAAGAAAAAGAGGACCTTGCTAGGCCACAGACGAGGACATTGCAGCCAGTCCTGAAGAGACCTGATAAACCAGGGTCAGATGGAAGGGGAGGGGGACCTCCCCTATCAGTAGACTTGGAAAGGGGCAGAGAAGAGACAGGGAAGGAGGGTGAGACTGGGAGGGAATGAGGGAGGGGGTGACAGCTGGGATATAAAGTAAATAACCTGTGATTAATATAAAAAAATAAAAATTATAAAAAAAAAAAATAGGAGTGAAACCCCAGCATCATGCCCCAACAGCTGCCTCGCTGTGCCACACAGAGCCTCACTCTGAGCTGTCGGAAGCCCTAATTTTCTTCCAAAGACAGACTCCGCACTAATTGGCTTTAAAAATGTCGGCTGTTCTTGACTTAGAGTAGTACTCTTGACTCTGCTGGTTTGCACGGACTTTTTTGCACAGCTTCAAAATTCATTAGAGGCTCAGTGGTGCCTGATGATACATCAAACTACAGGTAGGTGAATACGGAGATAGGAAAAACCCAGCTGGAATCCGAACTCAAGAGTTTCCCACACCCATTCTCCCTGGACAGCATTAGCTGCCTTCTCTTAAGTGTTGCCTACTTTCACCAAAACATCTTCCCGATTCCGAGACATCTTTTCCTCCTGGTGCTTAGTAAAGTGTCTGGCATACAACCAAGGTTCAGGAGGCAGACACAAGTGGAACAGAGGGAGCAAATCAGTCTGTGTCGCTGTCCCGTATGTGCAAACTATTTCCTCTCCTTTTCCAGGCCCTCATTCTCCCACAGACCTTTTCCTTTCTTGATCCCTTGTTAAACTTAAGAGATTCCTATCTGATCTGGCACTCCTGCTCGCCTCCATGCTGGGTTAGGCTGGGTAACTCACTTCCACGAGACATGATCTAGCATTTACATGTCATGGGACCTGTCATAACCCTGAGCTTTCCTATTTTTTTTTCCAGCTCAGTTTTCTAGATTAATTCTAACTTCACTTCGGTCACTGTGAAACGGCTCCTTTAAGCTGGATCTAGGTTAAAAGCTATAATAATAAGTTGAAGAAATGGGGTATAGAGTCCTGAATCATACTGGAGGGTACTTTGTATTTAATAGTTTTATTCCAATAACTTGCTCCACAATAATTTGGAGTAAATAGAATTCCTCATTTTGTTTATAGGTACAAGTTATAGGGTACTAGAATTCTAGTTTCCATATTCAGAACACACTATGCCAATATTAAATGGGTTCTTTTGAGGTATCTGTCTGAAGAAAGAAGTTATTTTGTGGTACTATCTTGTCTTATCTCAAGTAGTAGTAAGTTAAATACAATAACATATCTAATCCATGTAAAAGTTCATAGTAAATTGAAAAAAAAATTAATTGCAGTCAGCTCCAGTAATCTGCATCTGCTGAACTTTGAGGACTGACTTGTAGGGAAAAAGTCAGTAGAATTGAACAAAGATGGTCTCCTAAAGGGAGAGACACTAAAGAAAATTAGATGGCTGGTATAATGGAAGAGGAGAAAAGCTGTCAAACTTTATTCAAACCCTTTCCCTCAAGGTCTTGTATAGCCCTGGCCTGCAACTCGCTATATAAACCAGGCTGGCCTCCAACAAGCACCCAGCCTTTTCCCTCTGCCTCCACAGCTGGGATGAAAGGCGTGTACTACAGCCATTTCCTGGCTTCCTATTTTTCTCCTTTGCAGGTGGAGTCCACTTAAAAACTTCAGAACTATTGCAGTACATGTACATCATCAGGAAGCTGGGACAGGGACTGCAGGCAGACAGGTGAAAACTTGGGGTTTGGTTAGGGAGGCTGGTCACTGGCGGCTCTCCAGGGTACTGTGGGGAAGGGGGCGAGGCGGCAGCAGACCTCTCTGAGTCCTGGATCCTCTCCTTAAGCAATACCTCTGCTGGTTATGCTAGGATGTTCTGAGGAACCCGGGCGAAGAGAATAGCCCTTTAAGCCCGGTAGAAGAGCCTATTCACTACAAATTGTTTTCAGTCATGCCTTTCCTCGCTCAGGGTTCTCAGTAACTCTGGCTAGGCCGAGTTCTTCTCATGCCACTTAACATATACTGACAGGGTGCTTGGGAGAGCCACTGTGCACCTATTATCGGGAACAAGGATTCCTTTTGCCTTCTCCCCACTACCCTACTTCTCAAACGAGTCTCTTCTCTGAGGCAACCTGCAAGACGACCAATCCCAACCTGGAAATAAGGATAACCGCATAAAAAGTGATCTCTAGGGCTAGAGAGATGGCTCAGCGGTTAAAAGGGGGACTCAGCACCCACTACAACTGCCTGTAACTCCTGACCCTCCTCGGGCCCTTATGCTTATATGCATAAGCTCTCCCCCCCCATTTTAAAAACTAACAAATCTTTAAAACAGAGTGTGGTGGCAGTGGGCATGTAATCTCAGCATGCGGCATTCGGGAGCTGAAGCAAGGATATTGCTGCAAATTAATGTTACGCAAGGCTACATAGTGAAAACCTAGCTAAAAAAAAAAAAACGGAAAAAAAAAAGTGAGGCAGGGTACTGGGCATGGTGGCACACGCCTTTCATTTCAGCACTCAGGAGGCAGCGGCAGGGTGTCTGTTAGTTCCAGGGCAGCCTGGCCTACATGAGTTCTCCACTACCACCCAACCAAAAAAAAAAAAAAAAAAGTATTCCCAAACAACCACCAACAATTTGGGTCTAAGTGGTGAACGCAGGAAGGGGCGGGGTCAGGAGGAGGACCGGGAACTCGGGCCCAGGCTGGTTGGGGTGAGCGGCAGGAGGTCAGGGCTAAGGCAAACGCCGCCCTGACATACAGTTAAGCCCAGCACAGTGCGCGGAGCCCCGGCCGGTGGCGGTGCGGACACAAACCTGCGGGCAGGCTGCCGCTCGGCATCACGTGGGGCTGCGCGTCGCACACGGTCTTAGCACTGGCTGTCCCGGCCGGGTGGCTTGGCTGGTCCCTGAAAGTGCAAGGTGGATATCAGCAGCGCCGGAGCCCTCCACGCCAGCCAGCCCGCCCACCCGCCCGCGGCCCAGCCCGGGCCCGCAGAGCCGAACCCCGGCGCTGCCAGCTCCGGCCCGCAGTCCTCTTCGTTCCCTTTCAAAAGATGCTCCTCAGCAACCGCCCAGTCCTGGGTAGAGCTTGCCGCCGTGCTTTCAAAAGGAAACTTCCGGGAGCTGGGCGGGAGGGGGTGCGGCTCCGAGTCTGTGGGCGGGCCTGTTGTACGGAAGACTACTTCCTGTGCCTCGACCTCGGGAGCCGCCATGCTGTACGGAAGGTTCGAGTCGCTGTCGGAGCCTGCGGGTCGAGGCCGGCGCCATGGACGCGCTGGGCAGGCTTAAATGGAGCTAGTGAGCCACTTTGTCACACTCCGGACTGGCGGCTGAAACGTGAACTGGCCTAGGGTCCAAGTCACAATCCTCTTTATTTGGTTTGTGGTTGTTAAGGAGCCTGCCAGGAGTACAGGTGTACTGAATAAAAACTGCCAGATACCAGGTGAGGAGGAGCAGAGCCCACTTGAAGGACTCCAGTGGGCTGAAATACCAAACGTGCTTAAAAACCTGCTTCTGGATTTACTTAGAAATTAAAGTAACTCATACAAAGCAAGGCAGAGTACTCAGTCTCATTAAAAACACAAATACCTAAGGAGCAGCAGCTGTGTGCTGGACCCGTAAGGGGGTAGATGGGGTTAGGAGGAGCAAATTCCAGGACTGACTTTAACTCTGCCCTCTTGGAGTTTACAATCTAGAAAAGACATTAAACAGACAATTGCAAATATGTATATACCATCCATGGTAAGACAATGAAGGAAAAACAAGATGCTACGAGAGAGAAAAGCAAAGAAACAAGTTAATTTGGGAAAATTGAGGCTGTTGACCTTTTGTTAGAACAGTCTCTCAGCTAGCTTCTGACTTAACCTGGCTTCTCTGCCTTTCTGCACAAGGTTCTCACTGTCTCCAGCTACCGAACCTTCTTCCTTCTGTGTTCTCTGTCTGCCTAAAGCCCTGCCCGTACTTCCTGCCTCAGCTCAAGCCAACAGCTCTTTACAAAAAGCCACACTCCTTATTCAACTAGTAGGCTGGGGTAGGCCACCTTCTCCACAGCAGCTTGCCTTATTTTTAAAGGCAAGTAAGGAAGTGACATTTACATACCCTGGTGGTCTATTGTTGGCGGCTTCAAATAACAACTAAGAATACAGTTTTTCATAGCCAGCAAATATACAATATTTGTGGGTCTCCCCAGCAAAGGTGTGGTGGTACACACCTTTAATCCCTGCAATCGGGAGGCAGAGGCAGGTGGATCTCTCTGAGTTCGAGGCCAGCCTGGTCTACAGAGTGAGTTCCAGGACAGCCAGGAATACACAGAGAAACCTTGGCTTGAAATCTGGCCCCTCTTCCCAAAAATAAAAAAGCTCTCCAACACTCTATCCTTGTTTCTCTCCTAGCTACTGTTAGGGGTGAACCAAGGAAGGGGGCAAGTTGGGAAAAAGAAGAACCCACAAAAAGACCCTTAATATCCTTAGGTTCGGCTGGAGAGATGGCTCAGAGGTTAAGAGCACCAGCTGTGAAATCTTCCGGAGGTCCTGAGTTCAATTCCCAGCAACCACCTCGTGGTTCACCGCCATCTATGAGATCTGGCGCCCTCTTCTGGTCTGCAGGTATACATGCAGACAGAATACTGTATAAATAATAAATAAATAAAATTTAAAAAATATATCCTCAGGTTCTACACACACAAATTTTAACCAATCATAGCTTGAAAGTATGTGAAGGAAGACGGGAATGGTGGCACATGGGTGTGGCAGAGCTCACCTGTAATCCCAGCACTCAGGGAGGCAGAGGCAGGCAGACCTCTGAGTCCAAGGACAGCCAAGGCTACCCAGAGAACCCCTGTCTCACAAACAAACAAGCAAACAAATGAGAAAATATGGAGAGAGGAACTGCACGTGTACTGAATGTTATGACATGTCATGACGACGTAGCAGAGGGCCCGTGCCAGCGTATACCCCCTTGAGGGATTACGCCGTGCAATTGATCTGATATAAAGGAGGTTTATTGGGGGTGGGGCCTGGAGAAGGGGTAGAGACTGTGAGTGAGCCAGGTGGCTGGGATCCTTCTATCTGGCACACGCCTGTCTCACCTGGCGTCACCTGGTGGTGGCAACCAGGTGATGACATACACGATTGCAGGGATCCTGAAGGCAGGCCAGCTGAATCACCTGTACACTAACAATTGGAGTTACAGAGATGGCTGTGAGCCACCAGCTACGTGACAGGGATCAAACACTGGACCCGGGCATGAGTAGCAAGCGCTCTTAACTGCTGGACCATCTCTTTCTTCAGTCCATTGTTAGTACTCTTTAAACAAGGGAACAGCGGTAAAACTGGGGGTGTAATTCAGTTAATGGTGCACATGTCAAGTACACAGGAATACACAACCCCTGGGCTGGGTCCCCGGCCCTGCACACAGCTAGGTATGAGGCCCAATCTATAATCCCAGCTCAGGAAATAGATGCAGGGAGGATCACGGAGTTTAAGGTCATTCTCAGTTACAAATCAGTTTGAGGCTAGCCTGGACAAGCTATTTTAAAAAAATATATCAATGATGTATATGTTGCTTGTTCTGCCTCTCCTGGAAGCCCTGGACATAGAATGAGACTTCCATGTCACAAGATCTCTGGTTCAGCCGATGGGGGGGTTACAGGAGAAAAGGATTTTCTCCACAACAAGTAGTAGAGCTCTTATACGGCTTGGCTTGAGTTTAAACCAAGTCCCTGCTGAGTCCAGCAAGAGAAACTGTGGTTGGTCAGTGAAAGAGGAAGCAGTGAGAGTCAGGAACCAGAGAATAGAAATTGAGGAGAAGCTGGAGGTGGGTTGTGAAGGTCAGGGGATGGTTTTCTCGGAAACGTAGATGCCAGTGGTCATGTGTGGGTGTTAAGAGAGGAGCAGGATGCTTCCGCAGGGAGATGGGATGGCTAAAGAGCAAAGGGAAGGAAGGTGGATCTAGAGTAAGATCTGCAGACTGTTTTCTTCATGCATGCCCACAAACTAACTGCTGCTGCTGATATTCTTTGTTTGCTGTGGAGGCAGGGCTTCATCTAGCCCAGGCTGGCCTTGAGCACCTGATTCTCCTGCCTCTGCTGCCCAAGTACTGCCATTACAACTATGTGCCACCTCATCTAGCCCAAAACAAGATTTAAAAATGATAAACTAGGGGCTGGAGAGGTGGCTCAGAGGTTAAGAGCACTGGGTGCTCTTCTGGAGGACCTGGGTTCAATTCCTAGCACCCACATGGCAGCTCACAACTGTAACTTCAGTTCCAGAGGATCCAGTACCTTCACACAGACATAAACACACAGTCAAAAACACCAATGCACATAAAAAAATAATAAATTGTTTAAGAAAAAAAAAAAAAAAGATAAACTAGGCCAGGTGTGGTGGCACACACCTGTAATCCCAGCACTTGGGAGGCAGAGCCAGGCAGATCTCTGTGAGTTTGAGCCAGCCTTGTATATGAAGCAAGTCCAGGACAGAGAAATCCTGTCATGAAAAACCAACAAACCAACAAACCAACAAAGATAAGCTAGCACTGTGTGGTGACTCCTGCCTATAATTCTAGCCCTTGAGAGGTGAAGGCCAGACGATGATTTCATATTTCAGGTCAGTCTTGGCTGCCTAATAAATTCTAGGCCCCTGTCTTAGGATTTCTATTGCTATGATGAAACACCATAATCAAAAGCAACTTGGGCGTGAAAGGATTCATTTCAATTACACTTCCATATCACAGTTCATCATCAAAGGCAGTCAGGGCAGGAACTCAAGGTAGTATTGGAACCTAGAGTCAAGAGCTGGTGCAGAGGCCACGGAGGAGTGCTGCTTACTGCCTTGTGCCTCATGACTTGCTCAGCCGGTTTTCTTACAGCACTCAGGACCACCAGCCTGAGTGGACCCACAATGGGCTGGGCCCTCCCCTATCAATCACAAATCAGGAGAATGCAGTACAGTCTTGCCTACAGCCTGAGCTCATAGAGGCATTTTCTCAACTGAGGTTCCTTCTTCTCAGGTGACTCCAGCTTATGTCAAGTTGAGTTAAAAACTAGCCAGCACAGCCAGACTGGACTACAGGATGAGGCCCTATCTCAAGAAATAATTTGAAAGATCAGTGGGATGGCTCAGTGAGTGAAGACACTGGCCCGCAAGCCTCAGTTAATCGTGTAGAATTACTGGAATGTTCCCTCTCCCGACACAAGTGCCTTGGCACACGAGTGTCTGCAAACATAAATAAAGGTTGGGAATTATTTTTAGAAGTATGCTTTTGTTTGTTTTTAGTTGATGACTAGTTTTTGTTTGTTTGTTTGTTTGTTTGTTTGTTTAAGACACGGTCTCTCACTACTCTGCAGCCCTGGCTGTTCTGGAACGCACTCTGTAGACTAAGATGGCCTTGAACTCACAGAGATCCACCTGCCTCTGCCTTCCAATAGCTAAACCTAAAGGCTTATGCCATCGTTCCTGGCCCTTGTCTTAGGGTTTTGTTATTACTTGTTTGGTTTGGTTTTTGCCCATAATTTTAGATAATTATAAGGGGCATAGTTTTAGTGTAGTATATATTTTGCATGATTTTATACATTCATATATTTTTCTTGGTGTTCTGGTTGTATGATTTCTTTTATTATGTCCTCCTGAATGGGGGCTGGAATCCAGAATTTGAGTATGCCAAGAAAAGGATTCTACCTCTAAACTACATCCTCAGGCCCTATTGTTAAATCTACACACACACACACACACACACTGCAATTTCTAAGCTGTTGATTTTATCCACTGATTTTTTTTCCTACTCTCGACATTTTAGTTTTTACATCCGCTAGTTCAAGGTGGATATTTTTATACATTCCAAATCTTTACTTAAAACATATGGAAAAGAGCTGTAATAACCATTTGTCTTTGTCTAATTATCACTTAAAATGTCAATTTGGGCTTCATTGCAGTTGATTTTTTTTTTTTTTTTTTCTCCTGATGGGTCATTTTTGTCTTGCTGGTAATTGTTTTGCTAGAGACGCCTAACATTGTGAATTTTGTGTTTTGTGGGGCTGGTTGTCTTTTGATTTGTATAAATATTTTTGAGCTTTTCTGGGATGCACTTAGTTACCTAATGAGAGTTTACTCTTCTCTGGTCTGTTTTAAGATTTGATGGAATGTGAGCTGGGGGTGCATCTCAGTGGTAGAGTGTGCCCTTAGAACGTGTGAAGGCTGGAGAGCCGGCTCAACCC